ATGTCCATTCATTATTTATATTATTTGGAATATTGTCCTCATCTTTGTCGCCAAATGTATTATAACGTTTCAGACGTTGTACGCTCCGGCTCTCTTCATGGGGTTAGAATGTCGAACTGAAACCTTTATTTCGCTCACTGGGGTAGACTGTTCTAGTTCCACGTGCCATTTTAATGAATGTCAGTCTGAGGGGTAAGGTGGCTAGATGTCAGGGGTAATGTGTTCGCAGAAATTGACTGACAGCGATGACTGGGTTTTCCTGCTTGTGTAGCATGTTGTAGTGTCCTGGATGTTTAATGGATGTCTTCAAGGACACATGGCACAGTGGATAAAGTGACAGAACCCAAAGATTGTGAGTTCAATACCCGGTTAAGGCAGTGGAGAACTTTCAGAAGGGAAATTACCCGGAGATAACTGATAACTGACATCCATCAAACATGGCACGTGGAACTAGAACAGTCTAACCCAGTGAGCGAAATAAAGGGTTCAGTTCGACATTCCAACAATCTGAAGAAGACCGGAGCATACAATGGCCGAAACGTTATAATAAATATGGCGATAAAGATGGGGACAATAGTCCGAATAATGTAAATAGTATGCATAATACCTCATCTCAGAAATATAGACTGATAGTGAAGGGCCAAAATATTGTAATAAATATGGCGACAAAGTTGAGGACAATAGTACAAGTAATGTAAATAATGTATATAATACCTCATCTCAGAAATATTGACAGATACTGAAAGGCCGAAACGTTAAAATAAATATGGCGACAAAGATGAGGATAATAGTCCGAATAATGTAAATAATGTATATAATACCTCATCTCAGAAATATAGACAGATACTGAAAGGCCAAAACGTTGTAATAAATATGGTGACAAAGATGAGGACAATAGTCCGAATAATGTAAATAATGTATATAATACCTCATCTCAGAAATATAGACAGATACTGAAGGTCCGAAACGTTGTAATAAATATGGCAACAAAGATGAGGATAATAGTCCGAATAATGTAAATAATGTATATAATACCTCATCTCAGAAATATAGACAGATACTGAAAGGCCAAAACGTTGTAATAAATATGGTGACAAAGATGAGGACAATAGTCCGAATAATCTAAATAATTTACATAATACCTCATCTCAGAAATATAGACAGATACTGAAGGGCCGAAACGTTGTAGTGTCCTGGATGTATAATGGATGTCTTCAAGGACACATGGCACAGTGGATGGATAATAGGGGTCCAGAACCCAAACTTTCATCCATCAAACATGGCACTGGAACAGTTCAAAACCCAAAGAAGGCCCAAAACGTTGTAATAAATATGGTGACAAAGATGAGGACAATAGTCCGAATAATCTAAATAATTTCCATAAACCCTCATCTCAGGAAATATAACCTGGATGTGAAGGGCCAAAACGTATGGAGGACAAATGGATGTAAATAATGGATGTCTTCAGGACAATGGAAAGTTGGATAAAAGTCTAGGACAAAGTGCGAGTTCAAACCAAAAGACGGATACTGAGGGGAAGGGACAAAGATCAGTTCGAACTGAATAATTTCAATATAAACCTCATGGAAATATAGGAAGTTGTAATGGCAACAAAACGATAATAGTCCGAATAATGTAAATAAATAAGTGACGAAAGCCAAACGTTGAAATAAAATGGGATAAAATGAGGGACAATAGTTCTAAATAATTTACATACCTACCATCTCAGAAATATAGACAGATACTGAAGGGCCGAAACGTTGAGTGTCCTGGATATGAATGGGCCAAGGAAATAGTGGATATAATAAAAATGGCGACAAAGTTAATGCGGTGGGACAATAGTCCGAATAATGTAAATGGCGTGGAATAATACCCCTCATCTCAGAAATATAGAGCATACAATGGCCAAAACGTTATAATAAATATGACAAAGTTGGGGACAAAATGTAAATGTAATAAATGGTAAAAAACTGATTGAAGGGACAATAGTAATAAATGGCAACAAATGTAAATAATGTAAATCATAATACCTCACCCAGAAATATAGACAGATACTGAAGGGCCGAAACGTTGTAATAAATATGGTGACAAAGATGAGGACAATAGTCCGAATAATGTAAATAGTGTACATAATACCTCATCTCAGAAATATAGACAGATACTGAAAGGCCAAAACGTTGTAATAAATATGGTGACAAAGATGAGGACAATAGTCCGAATAATGTAAATAATGTATATAATACCTCATCTCAGAAATATAGACAGATACTGAAGGTCCGAAACGTTGTAATAAATATGGCAACAAAGATGAGGATAATAGTCCGAATAATGTAAATAATGTATATAATACCTCATCTCAGAAATATAGACAGATACTGAAAGGCCAAAACGTTGTAATAAATATGGTGACAAAATGAGGACAATAGTCCGAATAATCTAAATAATTTACATAATACCTCATCTCAGAAATATAGACAGATACTGAAGGGCCGAAACGTTG